GTGTGTGTGTGTGTGTGTGTGTGTGTGTCTGTGTGTGCGCGCACTTTTCTACAGAGCTTGAAGGATGCCATTTCTTTTTAAGTTGAGAATTGAAGATTGAGAGTTGGTGACGTTCAATAATTCCTTTACACTAATATTACTTAATATTACACTATTTCCTTTTAAGAACTAAAAATGTAACATGGTAATTTCATGTTCTTTTTAACATGTATCATACTATTACCATGTTTTTTTCCTCTGAGTACCATGGTATACAACAAATTACTGTGGTATTACCATTCATTACATCACTGTACCATGGGAATACCATGGTATTCTCTGAAGTACATTCAGAGCACTATAATACTGTGATATGTAAATAGTACTTATTGTGTTAATATTTCAAAAATACCATTATAATACTATATATACTTTCAAGTACCTTGGAGTACCATATAAATACCATTGTAGACTATTATAGTATTACCATCCGATACTATCATTGTACCATGTTGAATACCATCACAGTACCATGGTGTTACCATCAGTATTTTTGTGAAGTGTTATTATATAATCATTATATATTTATGATATAATGATATATTTTATTATTTACAAGCCTTTGTCAACTGGCTGCAAACAGTCGATGGAATGAGCGAACACACAATTCATACATTTCGGGGCGAATATTAAGCAATGTTGGGTGTCATTCCTATTCTTGTAGGCCTATATAAATGTCATATTTTTGTTATATAGTGTTTATAGATTTTTTTTTTTAGTTAATTCATTGGAATACCATGTAATGCAATGTACCATGGTGTTTGAATCAATGTCATCATTGATATCAAAGAACTATGTTATTACCGTCGGTTACTATCAGTGTACCACCACAGTAGTTGTTGTGAGGTTTGACAGGAACAATGCCAATGGCTTTGACAATGAACTGATGTGCTTAACAACACTTTGCTTGAGAGGTGTAGCTCTTTAGCAGGTCTGAAAAATAGGCAACTCTCCTCTCATGCAGGGCAGAGCTGTGGTGACATTAACATTCTGATGCCTTAACGTCTCTGATGAATGTTCCAACTGCTGAGTCTCTCTCCCTATCTCTCTTGCACACACACATACACACGGTCACTTGTATACAATATGCATTGGCAGAACAATCCTCCTTCACCCTCATTCATACGCGCTCAGACGTCGCATTTGCGTGCCTGTGACAAGAAGTTTTTTACCGCCTCTCTGAGGAGAGCTCACTTCTCCTGCCTCCTGCAGGGAACACCAGCCTATTTATAGATCAAGGGTTAGCAGGGTGGAGAGAGAGAACAGAGAGACCAATAGATGAGAAATGAGAGAAGGGTGAGAAAATGTTGCAATTATGAAGCAAGTGTTGCACCGAGCCCTTGTGCGTGATGGTGAACGGCAGCGCTTTATCAATTATTTACACCGCACAGGTCATTCTCTACTCTCGTCACAGATTTTGACCTGTTTTGAGCTACACTAGACCCTTTTATATCCACATCACAATGTGCATCACAATTATTTATGTTACCATTAAAAGCATTTGCATGCATTTTTTTAATTCGGTAAAGCAGCATATTTCTAGGTGAAGCATCTTCTATGTGAAAAAAAAAAGTAGGATAAGACTTCATTTAACCATCGAGAATTGATCATGAACAATTGCCTATATATGACTGGTGGTTGAAAAATAAGAGAGCATGGTGACCTTAAAGTCATTTCAGAGGCATAGAAAGAGACATACATGTAAGACCAGGTTTAAATAGGGTTTCAATGTTGACTTGAGGGATATTGCCCAGTGTTGTAATACTTGAGTCTGGACATGGTCTTGGTCTTGTCATGGACTCTGAAGCATTTGAAGCATTCAGTCTTGACTCGGACTACAACACTGCAGATACATTTTCTTTTTCTCGCACATATGATCACACTGTGCTGGACCAGAGCACACTATTTATACACTGTGGAGGCTCGCGTGACACTGACTGAAAACTAGGCTTCATTCACCCCAATGGAAAGGATATTTACACTGTCTGAATTGTTCAGACTAGCACTGTTCATTTCGGTTATTTTTCCTAACGGACAAGCGACGCTCGTTAAAACCGATTGTTAACCATTAACCGACAAGATTATTTTAAACTAGAATTGAATTAAATTAGAAAGGATAAGTGTCTATGACCCGTTAAAAAATACTAACATTTGTTTCCCGGGGATTCATTTTAAGTGTGCAAAAAGCAGCAAACGACAGAACATGAGGATTCACATGGTCATCATATCACATCACGCACCTGCAGCGCTTCTGCGAGCAAATAAAAACATAATAAAGCTAGGATATATACAGTATATATATAAACAAATAAATAGGCCTATACGAGAAACATATTTTTACTTAAATTATACATTAAGAAAATGAAAGAAAAATAAGTAGCTTAGTATGCAGAGTTTTTGTTCATTTTTGTGCTGCGCGAAAGGAAACAGACGACAGAAAGCGGTAGGGCTGTGCGATATTGAAGAAAAATGCGATATGCGATAACTCATTAAATTATGCGATATTCAATATGCGATACGATAATGCTTAAAGTGCCACATGCTCAAAAGAAACTTCTATAACTATCTTGTCTCATATATATATATGGTTATTTGTATGCATTTATGTACCAAGAGTTCCTGTAAAACCACAACAAATTCCTTGTGTTTGCGCTAGGGTTGGGTACAGTACCCTTTTTCGGTACAAATAGGCCTATACGAGAAACATATTTTTACTTAAATAATGCTGCAGCTAACCTTACTTCCATTTGCTACATACAGCAATATAAACAACAGCTGTGCATGCTCTCTTCACACAGTTCTTGTATAATAATAATAATTCAATAATTTAATAATATATGTATACAAGCACACCGCTCCGCTGAGAACGTCTCGGTTACGTATGTAACCCTCGTTCCCTGAAGGAGGGAACGGAGACGTCACGTCGGAGGACCGACGAATTGGGATCTCGCTTAGAGGGACCAATCTACTTCGAGTGTAAACTAAACGAGCCAATGCACATTGGCATGCGATTATTGCATCCAGCTGCTGCTGATCACAGCGTGAGTATAAGTAGGCAGCAGGTGCAGCGCATATTCAGCTTTTCGCTTCGGAGCCGAGCGATCACAATGTGGATAATTTTATTTACGACTAAATTATAATTAATTATTTTTACTAACAGTTAGATTGGGCAGGCCTTAAAAAAAATAAAAATTGCCTTGACAAAAGGGCACTTTGGGCATCGACATTAGGCCTATTTCTGAATGAAATAAAAAATGCGACTTATACGCGACTTGTTTTTACCCCCCTAAAAAAACAATTTTTTATATGCGTAGCGTATTTTAAACATTGCAGCAAACCTTTTTAAATATTTTGATAAATTACTAATTTTATTTTATTATTTATTATAATTAATTATTTTTACTAACAGTTAGATTGGGCAGGCCTTTACAAAATGGTGTTTAATTACAAAAAAATAAAAATTGCCTTGACAAAAGGGCACTTTGGGCATCGACATTAGGCCTATTTCTGAATGAAATAAAAAATGCGACTTATACGCGACTTGTTTTTTCCCCCCTAAAAAAACAATTTTTTATATGCGTAGCGTATTTTAAACATTGCAGCAAACCTTTTTAAATATTTTGATAAATTACTGAAAAAATTAATAATTAAATGACTTAACTGATTTAAGTGGTCTTAGTCTTGACTTGGACTCAATCTACAGCCTGGACTCAGATTCAGATGAGCTGGCTTCAACTACAACACTTATGTAGTCCATTCTTTTTCATCCATTTTCTTCCCCAAAGTACAATAGTATACGTTTAGTCAAGTTTTCTTGCACCACAAACGGCAATCATGCAGTTTATGTCTATTTTCCACCTTTTTTGGTGCTTCAAGTTAAACTGTTGTTGGTACTGTGCCTTTAGAGGAATAGTTCACCCAATAAAAAAAGAAAATTCTGTCATCATTTACTCACCCTCATTTTGCTTTGAACTGGTATGACTTCCTTTCTTCTGTGGAACACACAATAAAATACATTTTTAAGAATGTTTAAACTCTTTTGCCTTTACAGTCAAAGTTTGTGGAGTCTTTAAACTCACTGAATTTTTTTTTTGGATTAACTATTTCTTTAAGACTTCTATATGCAAATGACCTCTGTTATAATTGGCTAATATCTTACTTTTCACACTGTTATTCATCAAGGCTTGTAATGTTAGTGAATTCTAAATATGTGAACGTGGTCGGTCAAATGCTAATGAGCTTACTGTTTTGGCATTAATACCATGATGATTTCTGAATGATTTTCCAGCTTAGTTTAGTACAGGAATAGGCAAGTTCGGTCCTAGAGAGCCGCAGTCCTGCAGAGTTCAGCTCCAACCCTGAAAACAAAACTCACCTGCCTATAGCCTTAGTAATCCTGAAGACATTGATTAGCTTGTTCAGGTGTGTTTGATTAGGGTTGGAGCTGAACTCTGCAGGACTGCGGCTCTCTAGGACCGAACTTGCCTACCCCTGGTTTAGTAGATGGTTCATGTTGAATGTGTGTTCAAAAAGAACAAGGAAAGGAGTGTTTTCAGTAATACATCCCCTTTAACTACTGTTGAAATTGTAACTTCTGGTTATCAGTGGTGCTGATTCTGTTCACCATCATACAGGTGGCAAACTCCCAGAGGAAGTTGACACAATGCAGAGGAGGACAGTAATGTTAATGCTCTGTGGTGCGTAACAGTGTGACCTCTGTTATATAGTATACACGAGGGCCTTGGAGTATGATTCTCCATGCTTGTAGCTGTGTGCTTTTGTTGAGTAATGTGTTTTGACATAACTCATATTCTCTCAAACCTCAGGACTAACATTTTTGAATAACTGGTTTGCGAAGGGGCATTCTGTTATTTCCATGCAATGATGTGCCTTTTTCTTCCATTTTCTCTTCCCTTTTCCATGTCTCACATCCTTTCTCCTTCTCACTCTTCTGTCTGCAGTGAGTGACAGCTGCTTCAGAAACCTTGCTGAGGACCGCAGTGGAGTCAACCTCAAAGATCTTGTCCATGACCCGTCCTTGTAAGTGACTCACACACAATACACTGGCTGTTTACAATACTGTTCTGTTAAACATAGAACATTGCCAGACAGTCATTGTGTCCCATTCCTAGACTTTCTGTGTGCTGAATGGATGGTTGTCCTTCATGAAGATCAAGGCATGAATTTCAAGGTCCTGTCCCAGATCAAGACATGTTTGTAAAGTCCAAAAAACCACAGGGCAGCAGTGTTCAGTCTTGCTCCTGGAGGGCCAATGTCCTGAAGAGTCCTCTAACCTGCCTCAATACACTTGCCTGGAAGTTTCTAGTAACCCTAAAGCTGGTTCAATTAGGCTTGGAGCTAAATTTTTCAGGATAATGGCCTTCCAAGAGCAGGATTGGACATCCCTGCCATAGCTTAACCCTCTTTACCATCCCTATGTGCCTCTGAATGCTACCTTAAGCTGATCCCACACTGATGTGAACTACTACCCAATGATCCAGACTAATATGTGGACTTGGTGGAGGACTGCAAGCCTTTAGGTCGGCATTTGGGACAAGACCCAAGAGTCCATCCTTGACAAAGGAGGACAGCAGCTACAATTTCTTACTCTGTCTGTTTGCATTACCTTTCATGCATTGTTGCAAACATTATTGATTCTGTGAATCGACAGAATTTGAAGCAAAGCTTCTATACAATTTTACATAATGCAGGCCTCTTGTATGGCAGCTACTTCTCATATACTTCAACAGAGACCTCTCGTGCTTTGAGAAACCTTTAACAATCTTCAACAAGAAGGAGAGCTAATTGTCCTTCCACCTCTCTGTATAAATGCTGGCTTCTCTAGGTATAATCTGAAGTTTGGAAGGCCTCAAGGCACATCCAAATCAAATGTTCACTAACAACCTGTCTAAAAAGATGCACCAATCTAGTTGATTTCTGAAGTGCCTTGGAAGACCGGTTTCCTTGGGAAGGAAGTTAATATAGAAAACACTACCTACTAAGCTATTGGTACTTGAAACTCAGCAAGGGTGCAATGCTCCATCCTAATAATTGAATTATCTGGGGTTTTTGGTGTTGTGGCATTATGGGTAAAGAAGTAGGGATATAAGGGTCTATGATGGATTAGGAATTGATGAGAAAATGTTCCAAGACTGCATCTGTTTCTGCTTTAGTATCAAAAACCAGAGCAATTCTACGTACCTGGACCAAGGTCAGAGGAGTGACAGAGACCGCAGGATGTAGGTCTCTGAAAGATGTCAGAGAGGAAGAGAAGCATGGGGCGCAGCCAGAAGGTAGAGATAGTTCAGAGAGTATTGATGGATAAGGTATGTGTGTGTTGTCTGTTGACTGGTGAGCTCCATCTCCAGTGCTCTGTCAGCTCAGGTGAATTGATTCATTGGATGAGCTGTCAGTTTTACTAACGAGGTGTGGTAAAAATAGAGCTGAATTAATCATAGTGGGGACACACACGGCTCATCGTCCTCTGGATAGAGATGATTCCGATGTCTTCACCTACAGAGAGGTGAACATGCAGACGTTTGAGAGAGGGACAGCTGAGCACTCACCTGAGAAACAGAGATGGACGTGTCTTCCCCCCCAGAGCAGAAAAGTGTCACCAAGGTCATGGTTCCTTATGAGAGCGACTTTTATTTGCTGTGGGCCTGCAGACAGTTATTTATTAACTCGCCAAAGCTTTTTAAAGGGATAGTTCACCCAAAACGGAAAATTCTGTCATTAAATACTCACCCTCGTGTCTTTCCAAACCCGTAAGACCTTCGTTCATCTTCAGAACACAAATTAAGATATTTTTGATGAAATCTGAGAGCTCTCTGACCCTCCATAGACAGCAACACAACTACCATGTTCAAGGCCCAAAAAGGTAGTAAGGACATCATTAAAATAGTCCATGTGACATCAGTAGTTCAACTATCCCTTTAAGTGACAGTAGAGAGGAGACAGGAAATTGGGAGGGATTGGATTGGGATGGGACCATAACTGAACCTGCATAAGCTCCACAGCTCGATGTATGTTAAAGTCAACATTAAATCAAAATGGACAATTCTTCTTCTTCTTCTTTTTTTTATCAAATATTACTGTGTAATTATCTGTGCACATCATTATTTTTGTAAATTTGATGCACACTTGTAATCTTTAATCAAAGTAATTCCCCTTCTTCTTGCAATGATGGTATTTGCAGGGCAGGACAACCAGTCACTCATATGAGATCACAACAATAGCAAATGCCACCAATCCAATCAATTCTTGATGAACCACACTATATTTTTTCTGGTTAAAGAAGCTATTTCACTTGGATATACATCACTATAGGCAAGAAAAGTCTATCTATTCTGTTTCATGCCGACTTTAATAGTGGCTGCCTTTTCTGTATTTACAGTGAGTACAAGTTAGACACCTAATTCACTATAGGACATTCAGGTAATCAGGTAACTGTGTAAACACGTCCAGAACATCTGTGCTAAATACAGTTTGCATGATTCTTAATGCTCTAATGTAGAGGATACTTTACTGAGTCTCTTCTAACTGAAACGTTTTTTAACTTCCTGTTTACAGTGGGTGTGATTTGCGCGTTGCTAGTTGCACTAGGAAAGCAGTGCTGTATTAACACTAAAAAGTATTACTTAATATTATTTAATACATATGAAACTATGTTTCCATCACCCTGTTTTTATGTGCATTTTGAAGTATTACATCAGAAACGAGTGATGGAAACACCCTTAATTCGCAAAAAAAGTTTTTACGATCGCTTGAGGTGGTTTTTGACTGAGGGGTTAATGCGAATAATGGGAGATGGAAATGCATTTTGCGAATAAATTCCTCCACGTGCATCAAAAAAGTAATGTTGCTTTGCGCTATGGGACGGCATAACTTGACTAACTGGACCGATCTTGTTGCACAATATCTGAAATGTTGTTATGGTCATTCTTAAATGCCAGGGCAAAGTATTTTGTCAAAGTATTTCTGTATAATTGCCTCCCAAAGAGCAGGCATCCACCTCTGAAAGCAATGACTGCATTTATCGTGTTTAGTCTGCTCGCTCTAAGGTGCAAGTAATTTATTATTAAAAAAAATATTATATTCAGTGGCTACTAAAGCAGAATTATATTCATATTCTCCTACTTTTCTTAGTGATATTGCCAGTTTACCAGGAAGTGACGATTTTGTTCTCTTTGACTCATTGGATGGAAACGGTGCTTATTCGCAAATGTTTTATGCGATGTTCCAATTTTGCGCACGTTAAATTCGCAACTTTGGATGGAAACCCAGCTACTGTTTTAGCAGATTTAGTGCCTCGCTAAACTTGATTGCAGGTGGTAAATGAACAGCATACTGTTTTTATGCACTGAAATACTATATAAAATTGGTGTAACATGGTTAATAAATTCGTCCCTATATATTCCAAAGCCTTGTCTGCTTAGGTGAGCATGGTTGGCTATTAGTTGCGTCCATGCACTGCACCACAGAGTTTTGAAGTTTTCAACCTCTTTTCAGGTTGAAACCTTTTACTAAATCAGTAAACCCAGACACGTTAACATAATTGTTTGGGTTTGAGAAAGGCTGTGCAGCCAACCCACATACACATTACACACTCATTAATAAAGCCATAATCGATCACAGATTCAGAAGACACTCCAGTCAGATTCAGCGTTCCTCCTTCACTTTCCTTTGTTCGTGTGTACTCACTTACACAAACAAAATACCCAGGTTGAAATACCAAACTCATCTCCGTCTTAAAGCACCTTTCCCCAAACCCCCAATCTTCACACACCAGTGGTTTCCCTGGCAACCGGATTAAAGAGCTCTGCATCTTTGTGTTCAGCATATTCTTCTTTTAGTCTCTGCTCTCCGTGTCTCTCTTTCCCTCTCTCTTTCTTTCTGTTTCTCGATTTCTTGCTCTTTTGTGGGCATTACACCATAGTAGTTAGATGGACAGATACATCAAGAGAAGATGGATCATATAGATAGATCAGTACTTCATGAATAGATGCAAAACATCAACGTAATCAACACAGAATATACAAATAAGCTCCAGAAAGCCAAACTGAAAAAAGGGATTTTGCTAAATCATTTCAGTTTCCTGACACATTAGCTTGTCCTTGTTTAAAAATCCTCTTTAGTTAAACCCATCACGCTGTGGTTGGCCTATGTGCTCTGGACACGCCGAAACATGGTGCTCATGCAGGTGATACAAGTTTGAGTCTGACTTGCATCATCTCCTGATCCCATTCGTTGTAACAGGCAACTGATTTCCAACTTTGATGTGATAGTTTGCATCTTGTATCATCTCTGTCTTCTCACATAATAACAAATTAGACTTAAATGAGCATGAAACACTGATTTGTTCATGTATTTCGTATGTAAACATGCCATCATTTTTTGTCAAAAATCAAAAATTAAATGTGCCCACATCTGTCTGAGCTGCACTCTATTTATTGCTAGTTGCAGTACTATAAGCAGCCACTAGTGTGTGCTGCACTTCAGAATTTAAATATGGTTTGCTTAGAAGTTTTGTGCATATCTGTTCAAATTTCCTCTCTCTCCAGATAATTTACACCATATAGGAGTACACATATACAGGTGCGTGTCAATAAATTAGAATGTCGTGGAAAAGTTCATTTATTTCAGTAATTCAACTCAAATTGTGAATTCAGTGCACACAGACTGAAGTAGTTTAAGTCTTTGGTTCTTTTAATTGTGATGATTTTGGCTCACATTTAACAAAAACCCACCAATTCAATTCAATCTCAACAAATTAGAATATGGTGACATGCCAATCAGCTAATCAACTCAAAACACCTGCAAAGGTTTCCTGAGCCTTCAAAATGGTCTCTCAGTTTGGTTCACTAGGCTACACAATCATGGGGAAGACTGCTGATCTGACAGTTGTCCAGAAGACAATCATTGACACCCTTCACAAGGAGGGTAAGCCACAAACATTAATTGCCAAAGAAGCTGGCTGTTCACAGAGTGCTGTATCCAAGCATGTTAAGCTTATATAGGAAAGTGGTACTTGAAACCTAGCCATTGCGCTAATCCACCTGTTTTGTGACCTAAAAACAGGGCTGTCAAAGTTGAATCCTCTGTGAGCCGTCACCCCTGTGAATGCAGAAGCAAATAAAACAGCAAGAGCCCTGTGAAAGAAGAGAAAATTCTTCTTTAACTGTCATTCCTGTTGTGGGTGGAGTGTGTGGGGATGTATTTTGACAGTTTTCTGGTACCTCTGGCATTGTGTTGCTCTTTCCCTTTCCTGCTCTCTTTCACATTGTGTTCTTTTCCTCTCACTCCCCATTTCTCCCCTTCTGTTGAGACTGAACATACACTAACGGTTGTTGTCGTTTGTGTGTTTCACCCACAGGCTTGGAGGCATAATCTCTGCATACAAAATAGTCCCTGATGAGATTGACGAGATCAAGGTAACGCTTCCTCTCACCCTTTCAGTGAGGCTTCAGTGTGCACATCCATACACACCTTTGCACACTGCTGCACCCTAGAGGCCAGTAATTGTGCTGCACTCATAGTCATAACATGCTCTTTTTGAAGTTTATCACATATGGAAAAATGTATTGAAGTATCTCAAATGGATTTGGACACTTGAGCTGCATTTAAAAAGTAGCAATGTCATTGCACTAGAAAACACAAGCACACTTTTTTAACCAAAACATTTCATTAAAAGAATACTGTGAGGTTTTAAAATGATAAAACAAATATATGTGGATCATGTTCATGGTTAATTTGATGAACTTCACCACTTTATGCATCCACAAAAAATCACCTCGGTGGACTAGTTGGTTAAAAGTCTGTTGCTGCGATGATGCAATGACTTGCATGTGCAAATACTTTTTGGAGCCACTGTATATGATATTTTTTGCTGGTAACAGCAGTTTAAAATGTAATATTTTATTTATCAGGCCAGACTATATGCCCGAAATAGCTGATGTGATGTTGCACCACTAAATTGAGGGCGACTGCTCATATGGTGCACAAACGCACACACGCAAATGTACCTTTGTGCACTTTACAAAATTACTGCAGAACATTTTGTGTTGATATTCTGTGTGTTTTTGTGCATTAAAGGAGACGCTGGTGGACTGGTGCGATGAGAAGGAGCTCAACTTGATCCTGACCACCGGTGGAACGGGTTTTGCACCCCGTGATGTCACGCCTGAGGTACATGGGAGCCCACCTGTTTGTGTTTGTCTCCATGTGAGTGTGTGTTTCTGCCCCCACACCCATGTGTCCTTGTTTTTCTGAGTCTGACTGTGAGTGAGAGAGAGAAATTGTGACGTTTGTATATTTGTGCATTGAGTTTGTGTACAATTTATTTTTCCATTCACATGCATGCTGTTTGGCTGATGATTTCTTGTGAAACAAACAGTTCTTGGGAAAATGTGACTTGTTAAAGGCTTTTCACAGACTTTTTATAAACTTTTAGACTTTTTACCTGTATATATAAAATGACCAGCTCATGTCCAGCCCAAGTGGAAAAATGCACTGTTGCTGCCAGATCTTGATTGTCGAAAATTACATTGTGTTTGATGCAAAACTCGACTAAATGAAATGAAAAAAAATAAAAATCTGTAACTGTATATTCTCATGCTTTCTCAAGCAAAGCAAATTTTGAAAGTTCACTAAAAACATATCTTACATTTTGGTCATAGATAATGTTGAAGATATACTTTATTGTCAACATGTCTTAAGTGGTAAAAAAAAAATAATATATATGTATATAAAATTATAAATAGTACCAAGGATCAGGAAAAAAAAGGAAACAAATCATCAGAACATTTTGAACATTCTGAAGATTTTTTTTGTTTTCAGTATGCTTGTGTCACTTACAGTTAAATTCCTTCTCTGATTTTATTCTTGTTTGCAACGTTACTTGGCAGTATTTTAAAGATATTATTGTTTTTGGTTTTTGCAGGGCCTGTTATTAGAGTAGTGAAGTAGTTTTAACTCCTATCGACTGTGGAAAAAAAAACATAATTCAGTCGATGCAGAGACATATAGACCGGGGGAATCCCACCATCTCCCCAGCCTCGAATATTACATATCATAACGTAACTACTTGTAAACGTTATTTAGCAGTTTTTACTTGGAAAAGCAGCTATATGTTTTCTAGCATTCGAATAACTATGGATAAACCATAATCATAATCTAAATTGCAATCTTAGCACTCCCGTTTAAAGTCACCGCTCGCCACTGGTGTGTATGTGTGTGTACCTGTAGACCTCTACACAAAAGTGCTGTAATTGATTAGTGAAACAGTGTGCGTATCCATATGAGAGTCTGGTGGGGATTGTGCCTGGTGGAGCGACGCTGTGTAGCTCTTTTTTGATGTATCCTGCACTCCTTCTCCTTTTTACTAATGTTACTGTTTGAAGTGTCATTCAATTCAAGGGCACAGTGCGTCACATCGCAGATAAATTCTCTCCTTCTTTTAGCCCAAGATCCCTTTCGTTTTCTTCTCCTCCCCTCCCTGCTGCGCACTTTTCTTCTGACTTTGCATGTGTTCTTGAATGTGTTTGTGTGAATATGACTGTGTGCGGGTGTGTATGATTCACCAGGATGGGACGGCGGAGGTGGAGGGACGTGTGTCCCAGGGGATGCTGGGAAGGGTTCAGTGAACGGGGATTTCAGATGGAAGAGTAGAGACATCAAAGGCCCACTAGAAATGTGTTTGTAATGGAAAATATCAGCGATGGGGCTGTGCTTATGTCATGAGTATTGTGCTAATGCCACTGCTGTGAAGAACAATTGGCTCTAAATGAGGAATTAGCTTAGCCTGTTAGCATGCATGACTGCAAATCATAAAAAAGGATGTTAAGCAGGGCCCTCATGTTTTGTGGCTTTTACATTTTTTTCATATATTGAAACTAAATTGGCACCACTTACCCAGACAAAACTGGAAGGCCGCTCACTGTCTAACAAATATTAGAAAGCTCTGCTATATAGGCTATATATTAGGGCTGCACAATTAATCGAATTTCTAATTGCGATTACAATTATGGATGCCACAATTACATAATCAAAGTTCAAAGCTGCAATTAATCGCTCAAAGTCCACTTATGTTATTCTGCGTGCTTAAGATAACTTTGTTTTTTCTTGCTACATAAGGTCTTAAGGGTTTTTCCCATTATTTTAATTTTAGTTTTAGTATAACATAATAATACCATTCGTATTTTAACTTTTTTATAATTTAAAGAAGAAACCAATCCGATGTATAGTTGACATTTGAGGCTTAATACTATAGAAAAGCACTAAAAGTGTTTTCAGCTTGTTTGTTTTCATGTAAAAATATGGCATGCAGTTGCATCAAACAATGGTATAAACATCATTCAATGTAAATTGTAATAATCGTAATTAATAATCGCAATTAAAATTCCAAGGGAATAATCGACAATTATGATTTTTGTCATAATCGTGCAGCCCTACTATATATATATTCCAGTTTATCTGAAAATGAAAATCATCATGTCTTTCCAAACCTGTATATATGACTTTATTTCTCCTGAGGAACATACACACTGAAAGAATTTGGTGTAGGATTTAATTTGTAACAATTTCCATTCAGAAATTGCTAGTAATTTCACAAATAATTACAAAGAAATTGCAAGTAAATAAAAAAAAGTGTTTTTAATAAAGACTGAAATAGTATTTCCTAGTAAAACCTACTCCAATAACTGTTTTATATACATCAAGTGACATGAAGTCAGTACTAAAATTATTATAAGTTATTATACTAATTTTATAGTCAGTTATCCTATGATTAATATTAATGGCATAGTGAACAGGAGGAAGATGTGAGACTCGAGAGCTCTATAAATAAATATAAAAAAACAAAAACAAAAGAAGCAGAATCCTGCAAGTCAGACAACACTCATGTACTAAACTGTACTGTAAAAAAAGATTGCTTTCCCTCCCCTATTATCGAATTGTATACTTTTGACATCCCTAAAAGATAAGATTGATGGTTTATGCACCTGTTGTTGCTTATAGATGTGTGTTCTCTCGTCTGCAGGCCACCAGGGAGGTGATCGAGCGTGAAGCTCCTGGGATGGCTCTAGCAATGCTCATGGGCTCCCTAAATGTCACGCCACTCGGCATGCTGTCCAGGTGAATGCACATGCACAGACATGTCCTCTCATCTCACTCCTTCACTCTGCCTGTCACTCTCAAATGCACAAGAGTAAAAGATGTGTTTAGAATACTAATTGGATTAAATACTAATCATCTCCTTCCTGTAGACCCGTATGTGGAATCAGAGGCAAAACCCTCATCATTAATTTACCTGGGAGCAAGAAGGGCTCACAGGCAAGTTGTTTGTCTGTCTGTCTGTGTTACGTGTGTGTGTGTGTCTGTCTAATGGTGCATATATATTCTGACTTCCTCGTCTTCAATTATTCTGAACATACCTCAAAGTATATAATTTATCTACCTATCTATCTATAATAAATACTATCTATCTATCTATCTATCTATCTATCTACAGTGGTGTGAAAAAGTGTTGGCCCCCTTCCTGATTTCTTATTTTTTGCATGTTTGTCACACTTTAATGTTTCAGATCATCAAACAGATTTAAATATTACACAAAGATAATGCAAGTAAATACAAAATGCAGTTTTTAAATGATTTCATTTATTAAGGGAAAAAAGCTGTCCAAACCTATGTGGCCCTACGTGAAAAATTAATTGCCCCCTCCTGTTAAATCATGAAAGTGCAATTAACCACATTTCAGGATTTTGGACCACTGGGCAACAGTCCAGTTCTTCTTCTCCTTAGCCCAGGTAAGACGCCTCTGACGTTGTCTGTGGTTCAGGAGCGTCTGTGTGTGGTGGCTCTTCATGCCTTGACCCCAGCCTCAGTCCATTCCTTGTGAAGTTCACTCAAATTCTTGAATTGATTTTGCTTGACTATCCTCATAAGGCTGCGGTTCTCTCAGTTGGTTGTGGATCTTTTTCTTCCACACTTTTTCCTTCCACTCAACTTTCTGTTAACATGCTTGGATACAGCACTCTGTGAACAGCCAGCTTCTTTGGCAATGAATGTTTGTGGCTTACCCTCCTTGTGAAGGGTGTCAATGATTGTCTTGTGGACAACTGTCAGATCAGCAGTCTTCCCCATGCTTGTGTAGCCTAGTGAACCAAACTGAGAGGCCATTTTGAAGGCTCAGGAAACCTTTGCAGGTGTTTTGTGTTGATTAGCTGATTGGCATGTCACCATATTCTAATTTGTTGAGATGGTGAATTGGTGGGTTTTTGTTAAATGTGAGCCAAAATCCTCACAATTAAAAGAACCAAAGACTTAAACTACTTCAGTCTGTGTGCATTGAATTTATTTAATACACGAGTTTCACAATTTGAGTTGAATTACTGAAATAAATGAACTTTTCCACGACATTCTAATTTATTGAGATGCACCTGTATATGTATAAGGATGAATAAACAATGACAAAAAGTTTCAAATGAGGATATGCCCCTTCTCTTCCTTCACCTCTCACATATACGTTTACCCTCGTTTACCGCGTTAACATTGTGGCCAATCCTATTACAGCTCCTTCCCATGAAGCTCCGCTGATAGGGCCGTGGTATTAATCTCCATTACCCATCAGCCCCAGCCACGGAGCACTCCGCTGTCACTGCCGCTTTGAAGTCCAGAAGCTGAGCCGATAAGGGGATTAAACTATGAAGAACCCCTTTATGCTCGGTCCAGCTCAGCTACAGCACTCCCCCTTTCCCTTCCTAAATAAAATCATCCCTCCATCCCACGTCCACGACCTATAAAAGCAGCCTCCTCTATGACATCAACTCTTCTGGATTCAGTCTGCCCTTCTTGCTTTTAAAAAGGAGACAGACCCAGGCCACAACGCCACAGGTTTAGAAAGACTCAGATCCATAGAGAGATTCTGCACAACCTTTAGATCGCAGCGAGAGTTTTAATACAGGCAAATTGTTAACATTTAAGTAAACTGAGTGAATATGAAACAGGACCACAGACCTCAGCACATGTGATAAAATGGGATGTGTGTACCCAGTGTTTCAGTTTGCAGTAGAATGTCACCTGGAAACACACAAACACAATCCTCAAAGGCCATGAATTGTTAAAATAAATACAGTGGGGGTTTCTTCAACCTTGGGCACTTTCCTAAAGTCCTGAATGTTTCCACTACATCTACAATGATGCACAGGGTTTAGCAGAATTATGCGATAAATAAATAAATTAAATGGCCGATTCATTTGTCTTGCTAATGTAGCTAGCGTTTTATGTATTCTACATACACGTGATTAATCACATTTTCCCACTTTAATTTGACAAATTTGTGGGATTGTTAGAAATTACATAATGTTTACTTATCACATGTCTCAAATGTCTCAAAGTAAAAACCCCCATTTCTTTTCTCCATAGGGAAATTGTTTTAACTTATAAACCTTTAAAGACAGGCCTATTGTCTTAGTTGTTAACCAATTGTATATGCTTTTGTTAAAGCCATCAGTTCACATTGTTTCAACTTATTTGATAAATAATTGTGTTTAACGGCAGAATTCCAGGTGAAAAACTAAATGACCAACGATTACAAAAAAAAGACCTCCACCAATAAAGCTGTGTCCACCAAAGCATTTTTAGCCAGCTGAAAATGCCAGGCGCTCTACTGAAAATGCCCAGCTGTAAGTGCTTGAGAGCGATTCTACTGCCCCGTTCACACCAAGGATAAAAACCATAAAGATAACAATAAAGATACAGTTCTAAAAATCATTCTCAGTATTAAAGAATAGTCGAGTCCACACCACAACTATAACGATAAAGGCACAGAGAAACTATCTTTAGAATCACTTTCAGAATGATTTTTTCCAGCTGATGAATGATAAAAACATTGACACCCAATAAGAATCCATCCTAATATAACGAGCTGGAGAATTTAAAAGTGCTGTATGTTGAATTGACACCGAGTGGTTGAACTAGGTATTGCAGTCCACCCGGCCCCTCCTCCTCAGACTTGACGCACACGCAGGTTGCCAGATTGACGACACCAACAGGAATGAGCGCACTTGACGATGAATGAAATGAAATGCATTGTGTTTTCCGCCAACTGGCAACCCGGGGTGCCGAAATCCTTTTGGGTAAACTGGCAGTGGGTAGGTTTTACAAACCAAAACAGAGACTGACATTCCGGCCCGGAACACACATTTTCAAAGGAGAATAACTGACTGTAGCATTGTTTTTCAGATAAACAAGTATGTTAGCTTAGCATGTTTCTTAAATATCTCCAAACATATTATGGTATTTTTATGCTTTAGTAAAGTCAAAAACTTACATACAGCACCTTTAAAGTGGCAGACGAGCGTGTGCATAGAATAAACAGATTAAACTGTCCACTGGTGTGGACGCTAATATCTTTATCTTTATAATTATCGTTCTTGGTGTGAACGGGGCTTAAGACGCAGAGGTTTTATTTTTCAGTTGAGATGCTTTGGCTGTTATTATACGGAATTTCTGTGTAGTGTAACTGATTCTGGATCTGATTTAGCAGATAGTTTATTTATGAATATAAAGTACTTGCTCTGGCCCTTGTTTTAAATTGTTTTGTTGTTGTTGTTGTTGTGTTTCTTGTTGTCGTCTTTTGCTGTTGTACAAGGAGGATGTTGGTCGTCAGTTGGTCTTGTGTAATTTGTCCCGCCCATCCTCCTCTGTGATTGGACGGCTGACTAAAAAGTGACAATGAGTGCTGCATTGTTCCCAAAATTAAACATTCTTCAACTCTCTGTGCCAAAAAAAAAAAATCACTGAGGCCACAATGCTAAGTGGGAAGAAAATTCTCAGTGCCTCGTCACGCTCATGCCGTTTTAAAAAAACGCAGCGCTTCCATTGAAAACAATTAAGTGAAAAAATACGCTAGTTTTCTTTGTTTAGAATGTCATAATCATTCGTATTTTTTGTAATGGATTTTCTTTTCTTTCTTTCTTTCTTTCTTGTACATAATAGAAACATCTGTGTTTTTTATTTGCATTCGATTTGAACACACATCAACGATACATTTTAAGTTATATTCATTAGATGCATTGCACTTTGATCTGTTGAACACAACAAAATAGAAACCAAGCAACTGGGAAAAAAAGTTATTTTGCTTTGCTTTATGAAGTCAAGCACAGTTAGGACACAGTGTTGCTGTCCAAGTGATTTGTAATGCCTTATCTCTGAAAAAGGGCTACATTGTATTCTACCGTTTTCTCGAGGAAACTGGACATGAAATATGTCCATCTGCTTTTACAGTGATGTGGCTTCACATCACACATCCAATATTGGCATGTTCCTGTCTGGTCAGCATGTCTGAGTTGCCCATCACTCTTTCTTTGAGCTCAGGTGCCATTATTTCTACAGAGCAGCACACTCTGATCTGGAGCGTCAGCGCACACACATGTGCCTCACCTTGCACCGGGAAGACAAAAATAGACCATCCCTACATGCACCAAGAGGACATGAAGTAGCCTATGGACTTCTGATGTCTCCACACATTTATCTTCGTTTTAACTCTGAGTCACCAAAACGGAGAGATGCAACCACATCAGAGCTGCGGGGGGGACACTCCACTGCATCAACCCTCCCTGGACCGGTCTCCATCCCCACTGCCATCCTTTCCTTCATTATTATTAATGTCTCTTGTCAGAAGTACTTAAGAAATGCAGTTTAAGAGCAATCGAGTTTGGCCACCTGTGTTAAGTTCACACGCTGTGTCCTTATCGGACTTCAGCCCCTCAAATGGATGTCCAACTCTATTAGAAATTCCATTAAGTTGGTGTCAATTGGTTGGCCTGTATGTCATCCTATTAGGGGATTCGTATAGATAGTGGCCTGTTAGGTTGGAGGAGAACAAGAGGGATTTTACGTGGTAAAGACCTCACATTACTGCTAAACGGTACACTCGAAGCTTGAGGAGCTAGAGAAAGTTGAACTTTGAGGAGGTACAACAAATTAATTCGTTTTTTTTTTTGTAATTCTACTGTTCAAATCTTGAAGGAATAGCTCAGATTAGATATTATTTAAGCACCAGAATGTGTCAAATCAAATGTTGTATAAAATAAATGAAAAAATGCTACTACAGTCAGGAATTTTATGTTAGCATGTGTGTTGATTTAACAGTATGTAATTTTTTCATTATGCCATACATGCAACATGCAAGTGTTATTTTTGTAATTTGTAAATTATATTTTGTTCATTATACTGAATGTTACACAAAATGACTTTACATGACACAATATAATAACAGAATGAGAATGTATTTTATTTAAAATTAGCCTTTTAATCTTAATTTTATTCATATCAATTTTATATTGTTCTATTTATCTAAGTGTACATATTTTTGAAAATTATTAATATATGTTGTTTGCTTATTTGCTTTGTTTTGTGTTGTGTTTTGCTGTCTTTTGTTTTGCTTTTTTGTTTTGTGTTGTGTTGTGTTTTGCTGTCTTGTTTTATTTAGTTTAGTTTAGTTTTGTTGTGTTGTGTTGTGTTGTGTTTTGTTTTGTTGTTGTGTTTAGTTTAGTTTAATTTAGTTTGTTTTGTGTTGTTTTGAGTTTCTTTCCAGAAAAGAGAAAGCTTCTTACTGTCTAGTAGTAACTGCCATTTAAGGCAGCTTGTTACTAAGCTAACAATGTAATACTCATAATAAATAAAAAAATTAAACAACGATTTTCTCTAAACGTGTCATGATTATGTCTCTGTAGAATTGAGTTTGAGCATATCTAAAAGGTCTTTTCGCTTTTTCATTCTTTCACTTGCTTCAGCTGCATCTCTGTCTTTTCTCAGGAGTGCTTCCAGTTCATCCTGCCTGCTCTGCCGCATGCCATTGACCTGCTGCGGGATGCCATGGTGAAGGTGAAGGAGGTACACGACGCTCTAGAGGACCTGCCGTCCCCTCCACCACCCCTCTCCCCTCCACCCACCACCAGCCCACACAAGCAGACAGAAGAAAAGGGTGTGCAGTGTGAGGAAGAGGACGAGGAGAAGAAGGACAGTGGCGTGGCATCCACAGAGGACAGCGGCTCCTCTCACATCACAGCGGCTGCTATTGCTGCTAAGGTAAGCTTCACTATTAATAATAATAATTATTATTATTATGTAATTTCATGATATTTCATGTTTCCCAAACATAACTGGAACAGAAGAAAGTATTTTGACATTAAAATGATGACACTCTGCCCCTTTAAAGGGTCATGAAACCCCCTGTTTCAGCACTGGTTAGTTCTCACCCCAGTTTTAAAAAATGCTAAAAAAGTGGGCGTGGTGCGCAGCGGAGAGGAGCGGAGGAGGGGGAAGAGGAGAGACAGACAACACACACACAGCTTACCATTCTGATAGTTTCATTTCGCTCCGATCGAGTTAAAAACACAAATAAATGCATAGCCATTTGCACTCTGCATCGAAAACGTATATATGAACGCGCTGTTGCACCTCTGAGAACTTTTAAGGCTTATTCTGTGGTGTTTATATAAGCCTTTTGACGGGTTGTGTCACAGTGCTGTAAAAACGGTTATACTCACCAAGTGAATGAATCGCGTTTGTGCCGAACTCTTATTACAAAGCAAAAACAAACACTCTTCTTCCATCCATGAACGTTTCTCTCAGTTAACATGTGCGATGTCATCTCACAGTCTGAAACGTCTGTCACAGCAAATCAACACATGCTGTTGTGAATAATTAAGCGAAGCGTCTTCTCATAGGATAAGAACACGCAGTCTCATGAATAATTTAATAGACACTGACGCTTCATCGATGTACTATAGTTCATTGCCACGTCACAAATTGTGACGTCAACACAATGTAGATTTTAAACCCAGAAGATGAAAATAGCACAAAAAAGCTTAAAATTAACCAGTTTTCTCCAACAGTTAAAATTATCGGATGCTAACATTGTCTTCTATGATGTGCAACACAAACACCTCTGCTAAAATCTCAGAAAAAGCAGTCTGGGCTTTCATGACCCTTTAAGACTCTCTATCATTGCCCTTGATGCTCCATTGAATCATCTTTTGTGTTTGTGTGCACGTGTCAAGTCTCTTGTCATGTTTATGCATCTCATGTTCATCATCAGAGCATGAAGTCTCATCCCAGCCATGCTGTTGTCATGGCGAAAGGTGGACAGCCCTTGAGTGGCTTCATCCCGTCCACCTCCATTCTGTCCCATTTCACCTGCTCCTGCAGCGATACGGTAAGCCACACCCACTTTTCCATGCACATTCACCTCTCCTGCTATTCCATTGGCCCTTTTGAACATCCAGTTTCAAAACCAACCAATCAGACAAATGAAATGTCATTGTAAGTTGTTATTGTTTTATTTGCTCACTACTACTATTGCTTGACAATAAAACAGGAAAAAAATCCCTTAGGGCCCGTTCACACAGAACGCATTGTTGCGTCTAAATACATGAGTATACTGTAAACAAAAGCTGTCAATGCTTGCCCTGCCTCCGGAGTCTTCTGATTGGTCCACAGTTCTGGAACTAACATTGAGTGGCACTATGTGTAAAAGTTGAAATTCTTTTAACTTGATACAATATCTTACAATGTCTTGGTGCTCATGTGCGAGACACTTCAAAACACGCGAGTGCAACTGTGTCTAGTGTGCGTTTACATAGAAAAGCAATGGAAATTAGTGCATTGGAATGGAAAAACACATTCTGTGTGAACAGCACCTTAAGCCCGGGATACACTGCATGATTTTTGGCTGTCCCAGACGAAAGATTGCCATCGTGAAGCAATCGTGGCGATTTCTGTGATCGTGGCCCTTAATCGGTGGTCCTATGTCGTACTGTGAGAGAGGTTCAAAGATGGTCGTTTTCCCGGTCTTGCGACCAAAGATAGACTACGATAGTTTTCTGACAGTGTCAGAAATTCAACATGATCAACGCACAGTGTGTTTGCTGCTACGACTTGCGTCTACTCAGCAGCCAATGAAATTGAAACATGAAATAGGGCCTAATGGTTAGAGAGTCGGACTCGTAACCCAAAGGTTGTGAGTTCGAGTCTCAGGTCCGGCAGGAATTGTGATCGTGGCAGGAATTGTAGGTGGGGGGAGTGAATGTACAGCGCTCTCTTCCACCTTCAATACCACGACTGAGGTGCCCTTGAGCAAGGCACCGAACCCCCAACTGCTCCCTGGGCGCCTAAACATAAATGGCTGCCCACTGCTCCGGGTGTGTGTTCACTGCTGTGTGTGTGTACTTAGGATGGGTTAAATGCAGAGCACTAATTCCTAGTATGGGTGACCATACTTGGCCACACGTCACGTCACTTTCACTTTCAAATGACGTATTGATCCACACGACCAGCGGCGCTAGAATTTCAATGCCATGGAGGCAAAAAAAAAGTAGAAGTATGTGGGATACCCATAAAGAACAAATTCTTGTTGAGTTGTGGCAGCAGAGGGCATGTTTGTACGATGTGTCCTCTAGCTGCTATCATGACCGCACCAAAAAGGACATAGCATGGAAGGAGATAGCGGAGGAACTGCAGCTGCCAAGCTCCCTGTGCAACGTGTGTCGCAGCCGTCGCAGCCTACAATTCAATAGGTGTCATCATCGTACAGTCTACATGCTTGTCGTACCCAAGTTTAAACAATCCATGTCGCACAGTGTGATAAAGTAATGATCTTATAGGATTGCTAAAATCGTGCAGTGTATCCCGGGCTTTAGACTTGCGTTAAATTTTTAGAGACCAAATACTGTAACATAAAACTGACACCTCCAAGTCTAGCTTTTGGTCTTTATACTACTAATCTACTATACATTTGTTATCTTTTGTGTTAATTCTTTAATATCAACATGTATATAAAGCTGTACCATCTCTTATAATATTATTTAATAATAATTTAATGTTCAGCAAACCAGAATGTAACATTCATATAATTTAACATTATGTAATTTTGTTATACCATAAAAATGATTTCCAAATTTATTTCATTTAAAGAAAAATAAAATTGGAATCTTCGTTATTCTGAATGTTACACAAAATGAGTATACATTAAAGCCATATCTAGTGACCAAAATATGATAGACTTGGCACCTCCAGGCCTAGCTTTTGTGACTTTGCCAATAAATAACACCCTGGCAACCACCCACAACATGGACAAGCATGACTTACTTTCTTTCTTTAGCCTTCTATTGCGTTGTATCAGTTTATACTCTAGCAAGCAATATTTGTCTTGTTGTTCAGCCTTGCCAGGTCTTGTAAAGTTTTTTTTTCTCTCTCTGATAACAGAGGATTGAGTATATATATCCTGTATTAGCTGTCTTTATATAGTAATTATAATGGGGTCATGCAGGTTGGCATTACTGTGTTCTCCACAGGGAGCGCTCGTAGCTCGAGTCTCATGGGAAGGCAGAGGTTGAGTCGAGTGCTATTATTAGCGCAGGGTTAGCTTTTGCGCTGGGTAATTAAAGCGCTCGTGGAGCTGCTCTTTCCTGTGAGGCCTTGATTTATCCCCAGTGTTAATTAGTGCTCCGTTAAGCCCCAGCGTTCCTATGGAAGATCCCTGCGCTCTTCGCTCTTCGCCCTTCTGCCCATCAGACTCCCGCTTAATCCCAGCACAGTTCTCCCAGACAGCATAGCTGCAGTTTGTTACTGCACAAAGACTCGCCTGCTGGATCAAAGGCAGTCTCAGTCTGAATACAGTAACAAATATCACTCTGTTTAGAAAATGGCGTTTCAAATATTTGTCTGTGGAGTTTCATTAATACTTTCTGTCACGATTGTGTGGGCTATATTGCTTCTGTAGTAGTCAAAAGTCCATGTTAGTCAAGGTTTAATGTAGTGTTACATGATTATTTACCACTCTGCTCTCTGATGCTCTTGTACCTTTTAGAGTTCTGTATGTATAGCATATATGATGTGTTATGATTGGCTAATGCTTTGCAACATGCCATACACACACACACACACACACACACACACACACACACGTGTGTGTGTGTATGTATATATATATATATATTTATATATATATATATATATATGTGTGTGTGTGTGTGTGTCTGATTGAACATTATGAAATGTTATATTATAGAATTATATATTAAAATAATAATTCTAGAATTATTATTCTACAATTATATAATAATTGTATTCTTATGATCTTCAAGTTATATTCTTGCTGAATAACAGTATTAATTTCTTAGAAAAAACACTCTTACTGACTCCACAGCACTGTAAGTGTAAATACTGATTATTGCCAGTTCTTAACTGAATTTGACTGTCCCTGTCTTCTGTTTACAGATACCAGAGTCCATCATTTCACGAGGCGTGCAGGTTTTGCCGCGGGACACCGCCTCTCTCAGCACCACTCCCTCGGAGTCTCCTTGTGCTCAGCAGTCCCGCCTCTCCACTGCCTCCTGCCCCACCCCCAAAGTAAGACTCCGCCCCTTCTCCCTTGATTCACACCATTCCTTCTCCCCTCAGCTTTCTTTTCCATCATGCACTCTGTATCCTCCATGGCTGGATCCTCATCTGCTGCCACCTCATTGGCTGCTTGACACACTGCTTTGCATTCCAGACAGCAGTGACTCTGCTCATTGGGCCGTGTGAGAGGAGAGGCGGGAACTCTTCACTGGCTGAATTTTAAGTTCGGCCAATTAGATTTCCCTCCTGTAGCAGTTAACAATTTGTTGTTTTAGATCCAACAGTGTGATTAGACGAATGCTACAAGGGTCTATTAATTCATAACTATTTTCTTTAAGAAGTTCAGGAGCCGTTTTGGATGTTCCTTTTGCAACAGTTAATGGGTTACTCCACCCCAAAATTAAAATTTTGCCATAAATTACTCACCCTCGTGTCGTTCCAAACCCGTAAGACCTCCGTTCATCTTCCGAACACAAATTAAGATATGTTTGATGCATTCTGAGAGCTCTCTGAGCCTCCCATAGACAGCAATGTAAGTAACACGATCAACGTCCAGAAACGTAGCAAGGAGATCGGTAAAATAATCCATGTGACATCAGGGGTTCAACCATAATTTTACGAAGCTTTTTTACGAACAAAAATAACGACTTTATTCAACAATTTGTCTCCTCTGCGTCACCGTAGCGCCATGAGGGTGAGTAATCAATGACAAAATTTTCAATTTGGGGTGCAGTAACTCACATTGTGTCAGCCATTTAGTATTTAGTCATACATTGTCATACATACACTTCCATCTCAATTTTTGACTCAAAAGTGCTATCGGTGTAGCCGACCTAGTCGTTTACTGAATGGAGTCATTCTTTTGTGCTGTTTATAACAAGTTACATTTTGTTGTGGAGTGTGTGATAGTAAGATACTTCAGTTTCAGCTCTTTCTCAACTGTTTCCTCAGTTTTCTGTGGAAGTGTCATGGTATAAATGTGTGCTTTGTGTTGTGGCCCTGATGATGCTGGCCCTGTCAAAAATAGCATTCACTTTGGTGACAGAATACTGTTTAAGAGTACCGTTTGAATCACATAAAAACAAACAAGACACCCTACACATTTGTGGACACATTGACAGACAAAAACATAATCAAAAAACACATTAAGTGCATTTGGGTCTGGACCAATCGAGCGTCTGTTTAGTTCATGAGATGGTCATATGTGTGCCTGAAATCTGTCAACAAGCTGTGAATAAGTGATTAATGATGCTTCACCAGCTTTTTTGTCTCCCTCTAGTTAACACAGTGTGTATTACATCTGTGTTTTCCTTTAGCAGATCAGAGTATTTGTGTCTCAGTGTCAGACTTTGGAAAGTTGATGCCACCGAGTACTTGAAGTGTATAATGGAAATGTTTAGACCTCTTTTTATCATTTTTTTTGGGATGTATGTGAAATGCCTGTGATAAGCAGGATTCCAGCAAAGTGTTCTAAGCTTAAGCTTTGACCTCAGGCTGGGTTTTAATTCTGCTGACTGCTGTTTTTTTGACAAGTGTCTGGCAGTTTGGTTTTGTTGCTAAACAAGGTTGTCAGGTGGCACTTAACAGTTAGAGGCTACATACAGTAAAGAACATGCTGAGGTGTGTGTGTGGTGTTGAACAGTGCACCTATCACATTAAGCATCTGGGAATTCACAGTCCTGATAAAATAGTCATTGCAGGTTCACAAATGTGTGGGGAATTTATACGTAGCAAGGAGATCGGTAAAATAATCCATGTGACATCAGGGGTTCAACCATAATTTTACGAAGCTTTTTTACGAACAAAAATAACGACTTTATTCAACAATTTGTCTCCTCTGCGTCACCGTAGCGCCATGAGGGTGAGTAATCAATGACAAAATTTTCAATTTGGGGTGCAGTAACTCACATTGTGTCAGCCATTTAGTATTTAGTCATACATTGTCATACATACACTTCCATCTCAATTTTTGACTCAAAAGTGCTATCGGTGTAGCCGACCTAGTCGTTTACTGAATGGAGTCATTCTTTTGTGCTGTTTATAACAAGTTACATTTTGTTGTGGAGTGTGTGATAGTAAGATACTTCAGTTTCAGCTCTTTCTCAACTGTTTCCTCAGTTTTCTGTGGAAGTGTCATGGTATAAATGTGTGCTTTGTGTTGTGGCCCTGATGATGCTGGCCCTGTCAAAAATAGCATTCACTTTGGTGACAGAATACTGTTTAAGAGTACCGTTTGAATCACATAAAAACAAACAAGACACCCTACACATTTGTGGACACATTGACAGACAAAAACATAATCAAAAAACACATTAAGTGCATTTGGGTCTGGACCAATCGAGCGTCTGTTTAGTTCATGAGATGGTCATATGTGTGCCTGAAATCTGTCAACAAGCTGTGAATAAGTGATTAATGATGCTTCACCAGCTTTTTTGTCTCCCTCTAGTTAACACAGTGTGTATTACATCTGTGTTTTCCTTTAGCAGATCAGAGTATTTGTGTCTCAGTGTCAGACTTTGGAAAGTTGATGCCACCGAGTACTTGAAGTGTATAATGGAAATGTTTAGACCTCTTTTTATCATTTTTTTTGGGATGTATGTGAAATGCCTGTGATAAGCAGGATTCCAGCAAAGTGTTCTAAGCTTAAGCTTTGACCTCAGGCTGGGTTTTAATTCTGCTGACTGCTGTTTTTTTGACAAGTGTCTGGCAGTTTGGTTTTGTTGCTAAACAAGGTTGTCAGGTGGCACTTAACAGTTAGAGGCTACATACAGTAAAGAACATGCTGAGGTGTGTGTGTGGTGTTGAACAGTGCACCTATCACATTAAGCATCTGGGAATTCACAGTCCTGATAAAATAGTCATTGCAGGTTCACAAATGTGTGGGGAATTTATATGCGGTGGGAATATTGTGTGTGTGTGTGTCTGAGAGAGAGAGAGAGAGAGAGAGAGAGAGAGAGACTGTGGTCGGGCCCACATAAAAAGAGCCAAATGAACAATTCATTCATGCACATTTTTTTTTCTTTTTTTAATACATTTAACTTTGTAATTTTTTTAAAAACAAAAAGTCATAACTTAATCTTAGAAAAGATCTGTCGCTACCTTGTTAAAAAACGTTAAAGTTATTTAAATCTTGCAGTTACACTGTATAGGAAATGCATATACTGTGTTTACATAAAATATAGAATTGGACTTTCTATAACTAGTCATTTTCCAAGATAGACACTTGAGGTGTCAATCAAGTTTTAGTTAGTGGCTTAGGGGCCAATGCTTCATCTGTGAACACCAGTGGAAATGGAAGAAGAGAAAGAGTAAGTAAATGAACATAAAGGAGAAATAGGAGACAGTTCTTAGGCTTTGTTGCAATTCGTTTTCTTTTTGTCTGAACAGGAAAAAAAAAATTAAATCCAAAGTCTGAACTGTTAGATTGTATTTCTGTTTGTTTGTTTTTTTAAATGTGAGAAAAGATTTCTATTTCAAATAATTGCTGTTTCCAAAGTTCATCAACAAATCCTGAAAATAAAAACAGTTTTCCACAAAAAATATCTTTTAAACTTCGTATTCATCAAAGAATCCTCAAAAATGTATCACTGTTTTCACAAAAATATTAAGCAGTACATCTGTTTTCTACATTGATAATAATAAGAAAGGTTTCATGAGCACCAAATCAGTATATTAGAATGATTTCTAAAGGATCATGTGACACTGAAGACTGGAGTAAATGAATACAAATTCTTAAAATATATGTGTAACGTCATACACAGTGTTGGGGAAAGTTACTTTTAAAAGTAAGGCATTACAAAATTGTGTTACTCCCTAAAAAAGTAACTAATTACGTTACTTAGTTACTTTTTATGGAAAGTAATGCGTTATATTACTTTTGCGTTACTTTCGCTTTACTTTTTGATTGTTTTTAATATAAGAAGTTCTATTTATATTAAATATAAAAGCCCTTTCACACCAAAAAGTGTAATGAATAAACCTCAGGCTGAAGTAAAAGTAAATTCACGTCTGTACAGTAGAACGCAGGAGAAGAAACACTCTTCGGCAATAAAAAAACAAAGCACAATTGTTAGTTTCTCTAAAGTCATTTTTGCTTATTAGTATGGTTGAACTGGATCATCAAAGGTCAGCAGCAAAGATATTGGTTAATAAAATGGGATTAGATATATTTGTGTTATTTAACATTTAATTATCGCAGGTTTTAATTCATTTTGATGAATACTAAATCAGTTTTTTGTGTGGGATGAATTAATGCACATTCACATTTAGTCTAGAACTACAGTAACATCATGTTCACACAGCGCACACAACTCCTCTGCACTTCTGATTTCTCCCAATATGGGGACAGGAGACTTGTCAGTCAATAAATGGGAAAACAAAGTAACTGGCATTACTTTTTTTTTAAAGTAACTCAGATATTTTCTTGTAAATTAAAAAAGTAATGCGTTACCTGAAAAAATTAATCTGATTACGTAACTCGCATTACTTGTAATGAGTTACCCCCAACACTGGTCATACATAATGTACACAATATTGTCTGGAACTGTGTCTGAATACTTTTCTTTTTGTTGACTCTTTCCTTACATAATAAACTGTGTGATATTCACTATTTAGTGACTGAATCAGCAGTTCTAGACAAATATATGTCGTAAAATGTAGCTTATGTTCTGGTCAGCAAAATGGCGTGGTAGACAGCAGAGGCTAAATTCTAGTTTTCCCGTCCTCTCTTTCCACGTTGACAGCTTGTTGTATGAGAAAGACTTTTAAAATCCTGCTGACACTAAAATGATGCTAAATGCTGAATCTTGACTGTCTGAACAAACAAATCGCATTTCATCAAAATAACAATCAGGCCCAAATATCGCAGTGGATTTGTGTGCAGTGTGAAAAGCATACATCATCCAAGACAACCAAAGGCAACACACACACACACACACACACATACACATATATGCTCACTGCATTCCCTCAGCACAACGTCTAGCTGTTACATAAGACCCTTTTTGGCTGTGAGCTCTCCATGCGCGCTAAATGCAGAGGTAATAATGCATAATAAGTTTTTACACTCTCTCTCTTTCCGAATCGCATTTCATCAAAATAACAATCAGGCCCAAATATCGCAGTGGATTTGTGTGCAGTGTGAAAAGCATACATCATCCAAGACAACCAAAGGCAACACACACACACACACACACACATACACATATATGCTCACTGCATTCCCTCAGCACAACGTCCAGCTGTTACATAAGACCCTTTTTGGCTGTGAGCTCTCCATGTGCGCTAAATGCAGAGGTAATAATGCATAATAAGTTTTTACACTCTCTCTCTTTCCCTCTCTTAACCCACTCAGATGCTTCGCCTGAGCCGATCTGATTTCAGAAAACACACTCTGTACCCGCACACACAGCCGTCAACGCTGCTACGCTGTCTATCCCTCAAATCTGTGGTTGCACTTCCTCCAAATTTAGATCCCACTGGTTTTTACTCATCCTCCGCTTTGCATGCTGTCTCACTCCACCTCTTTCTCCCCTCCTACACTCTCTCTGGCTTCATGCGTGTCGTGTGTGTGTGTGTGCGTGCGTGCGTGTCAGTGTGTGCACGGGAGACGTGCAGCATTCTTCTGTGTGGCGGGATAAAGCATGGTAAGCGCAGGCTTTCTCCGCTCTGATGCGTCACTCTGTTTTGTTCTACACGTGTCTGTTTTGGATGTGTGTGTGTGAGGGGTGTAGGTTGGTAGGGCTCCACATTGACTCCAGGGGGGATCGGTGGGGCAGGAGGATTTCAGGGTGTATGATCTATGGCGTATGGAGCAGCCACTTGGTTTCATAACAGCTGCAGTGGTCTGATGTAGTAACACTGTGGCTTTTCTGAATGGAGGCTCCATTAGGTGCCAGTGTTTGGAGATGTGGTGGATGTAGTTTCAGTGCTGTTCCACATCTCTATATAAATAGACACACATACAGCATATATTTTGAAAATATTTACATGTATAGTGCCGTGAAAAGGTTTTTGCCCCCTTACTGTTTTTTTCACACTTAAAAGATTCAGATACTCAAACAAATTTTAATATTACACAAAGATAATGCAAGTAAATACAAAAGGCAGTTTTTAAATGATGATTTCCTTTATTAAAGTAAAAAAGCTGTCCAAACCTACCTGGCCCTACGTGAAAAATCAATTGCCCCCTCCTGTTAAATCATGAAAGAACTATAATTAACCACATTATTATAGAAAGCTGAGTTAAATTTCACTAGCCACATCCAGACCACAAGAACTGCATTTATTCAGTCGGAGAACGACTGAGAACGGGAGACGTTTCAGACGCGTGCGCCACTTCACTTCAGCGCCAGGCGTGAGTCAAATGAGTGCGCAAACGGTTCTGTGCTGGCAGCGCGTGCTCTTCAATTGCGTGCACAAAGGCGCCAGCGTGCTCTGTAGCCTGTATCCTTTCATATCAAAGCGCGAAATAAACTACGTGCATGCAATGTCGTGGTCAGTTAAGTCATGAAATTACCAAAAAGGCGATTAAAGCTGCCTTAAAACTGTGCATTCATGTAGCCTAATATATTTTATATGAGTCACATTTAAGAACATGTCTCTGAAATGGTTTTCAAAACTGTCCTGGGTCAGCCCAGCACTGTCTCACTCATCGAACACACCCGATTTAACTCGTCAGCTCATTAATAGAGACTTTTAAGACCTGAAGTGGGTCAGAAAAGGTAAAAAGAGTTAAGAGAAAATATGATGCGTGTCAGATCCGTGTCACGTTCAGCAGCGGCAACTCTTAATGTAATAATAGCCAAAATACTCTAATAACCAGCTGCTGTGATGTCTATTAATCAAAGGACAAAGAAAAAAAGAGGAAAAAATTACTTTTATAGCTTTCAAGGATTCATCTATATTTAATTTAGTGTTTGATAACTTCATTTTCAATTTCTGTATATTTCTGCTGATTGGCACAGGTAAATATGGCATTTATTATAATGGGTTTATGTGAAGTCTGTTTTCAGTTCACTTAAATTAGAAGTTATTTTTTAAAGTCTAATAAATGTTCAAATTGATAGCTCTCTATTATACTGTAATGTTGAATGGCTATAGTCAATGGTTAAATATCAGGGGGGGGAAAACTAATTTTATAGAGAAATCAGTATTGGTATCATTGATACTGGCCTTCAGTCATAAAAAAGATGCCATTAAACAAATATTTAAAAATATACTGCCTTTATGTTGTTTGTACATTAATTTGAAGATTGAATGTCAAATTATTGCAATATAAAAGTATATTTAAAAACTTTATTCATAGTGAGTAAAGACCGGCAGTCTAGTCAATTATGGGGTTTTTTTGCAATCTAGTTAATATTCATCATTAATATTAATCTTTTTTTTCTGTTTCTGTTTCTTCCAGATGTTTTTCAATTTAAAAAAATTGGCATTGTTTTGATGTGGAAACGTTTTGGTGAATATTGTGTGCTTTTAAGTTACTTGCCTCATACTAAGTGTACACAGGGCAGACCTTCTTTATGAATAATCAGAAAGAAAAAGTGTCACCCAGAAATGTTTAAATATGCTACCACTGGGATACTGGTTTAACAGAAAGCAAGCACTTCAAGGTATATACATACTGCAGACATGTTTAGATTGCATGTGTTGGTTTGAGGGACATACCCAGGCTTACTCTGTCTGGAAGTGCAATAAATGGACATTGACAGTCCAATGACCCTTTGCCCCTGAGCCCACTCCACCCCCTCCTCCTCTTTCTGTTCGATTGATGAATGGAGAGGAGATTGAAGATCAGGTGAAGGGGAGAACAGTGGCGATTACTACACAGCCCTGTCATTGAATCTGACAGCTGTGTGATAGTTGTGGAAGAGATGCATATTGTATCTGGCAGTGCCTCTGCATTTAATTTTTTCATTAATGTGTGTGTGTGTGTGTGTGTGAGAGGTTAAAGGCTTGTGCAAGAGAGCAAGGACAAATAGTGGTGTATTATAGTCTCGACCAGTTCTGTTTAATTCAAAATGTGTGTTTGTCCACGTTTATACACACGTAAACAGGTTCTGACACATATAGCTACATTAGCAGTCTATTAAAGCGGCCATATTCTAATGTTGTATGCAATCTTACACTGAAAGTTTACTTACAGTGTAAGTCAATGTTTTTACATCAAAAACAATTGCGATTAAACAGGCTGTTTTTGTTACTGTAATAAATATTAAAAGAGTTAATTATTTGAATTGTGTTATGAATAGCTAACTGTATGAGAGAAATACCAGCCTAATTCACACTGTTGTTCATCACAGAGGGCTGACTTGCAGAATACTGAATGGGCGTTGATATGTAAATGTTGGCAGTCATATGTTAATGTGCTCATGGTTGTGATGTGTGAATAACCAAAACCACCGTTTGTAGCAGTTTAGTTGCTCTAAATGGAGGGAGGAAGCTGTCAGTGGAGTAGATTAAACAAGGAAAATCCATTTTCATTTAGTCATTTAGCAGACACTTTTATCCAAAGCGACTTACAAATGAAAAGTATAAATGTAGGTGTTAAAGGGATAGTTCATATAAAAATAAAAAATGTTGTCATCATTTATTCACTCTCATATTGTTTAAAACCCACATGACTTTCTTCTTTCAGTGTGCCACAACAGGAGAAATGCTGCAGAATGTACTGCCAATTTTCCATGTGGTAAATAAATTGGGATCTGAATTGTCAAGCTGTAAAATGACCAAAAGCATAGTAAAAGTATCATTTAAGTGGTCCGTATGATTTGTGTTATGTTCCAAATCCAAAAGGGTTGTTATTTACTGAAAACCTTACCCTCCACTCCACCTTCATTATCAAATGAAAACATGTCTTTTTTTTTTTTTTTTGAAACACTGCACATGGCCTTCAGAAAATGAATGTGGTCTAGTCGTGGAAACTAATTCTTAATTCAATGCCATGGCTTTTTTTTGGCCATGTCTCGGACCCCATTGTAATGTTTTGTTTTGTTGTTGTTTTTTTCTGGTCATTTTGTAGCTCCACAAACTGCTCATTCTCTTTCATAAAATGGAAAAGAGTAGCCAACACATTCTTCAACATTTCACCTTTTGTCTTTCACAGAAGAAAGAAAGTCATACAAGTTTGGAATGACATGCAGTCGAGTAAATAATGACAGCATTTCGATTTTTTGGAGTGAGCGATCACTGTAAATAATTAGTTGCATGTTTCTGTTTGTTGAGACTCTCTCTGGAGGTCTTGACAAACTTGTACAGTTGTGTCCTGTCAAACTGGCAGTGGGGTTGCTGCGTCCTGGTGTCCTGAATGTGTTCTCTACATGTTTTGGCCAACACTTGGCCGTGATTCGCTGTAATGACGGGAATGCTGTTTGTATGTGTTTCCCTTGCTTGTGGCTGCAGTGTTAACCCTCCTCTTCCCTGTTCCCTCTCTCCCTGCACCAGGCCCGGCTCACCTCCTGTTCATCCACTTATAGTGTCACAGAGGTACAGCATGTTTTACACAGCGCCGTCCATCACCCTGCGACTAACCACACCCCTCTCAGAGACTCGGCCAATCATTGCTCACACACCTCACACGTGCACAACTCATCCCTGTAAAGCAAGTCTGTCTCATCGGTTCATTTATTTAACCCCAAAAACGCCTTGTAGTTTGTTTTGTGTGTTTGTGTGTGTCCTTTAAATCATTAGTTTCTCATGAATTCTGAACTTTTCTGTCCTAAATAAGGATTACGTGACACAGAATCATTAATTTGATCAATGCATATGGGCAGTATTTTTCATAATTGATGTAAACATTTACAGCTGCTGTAAGCAATATTTTGAAATACTGCATCATCCCAAAATCAAATAGAAATAGTGTGAATACTAATAATAGTAATAATAATAATACATAATTTATAATTATAAATTATAATTATATTAAAATTAATTAAAACTCTTAATATTATAATAAGTTATTATTATTATTATTATTATTATTTCCTATTATTCTAAAAGTTGATTCTCATTATTGTAATAGTCTTTAAAACATTAGTTTTTTTTAAATGTATTTCATATAGCTAACAAATGCTATCATGAATTCATAAATACTGTTCATTTTACAACTTTTATAGATAATATAATACTATTTAAATGATACATCATAATTTTTCAAATTACGGTAACAAAAATTAGATTTTTTTTTTACATTGGGGTAATGAAATTATTTTTATTTATTTATGTATTTTTAAATTTTTGAGTGAAATCAAGACCCCTCTTGTTCCTCAAGACATTTATTTCTCATAAAATGGTACTTTTTTGCAACACTTCCAGTTTCATAAAGTTGGAGGGGTTATAGAAGTGAGCTTTAATACAATCCCAAGTGCTCATTATCCACGGAAGCCTCTTTTGTTCTTGGAAATCAGGTGAAAGGTCAGCGTAACACACAGAGACACGCTGCAGCTGCTTTGCTCCTCTTTGGTTGCGTAGTAGTAGTGGGATTATTTTGCTGTTATGACTTCGCTTGATTCCCCTTCATATTTTTCATTTCAGTGTTAGATGATCCTTAGAGTGTGTGTTTGTGACTGTATATTGTGAAGTGTGTGTGTTAATGGGGAAGGCTGTATCAGGTGAGTTACTGTCCTGTGGCTTCCTCCAGGCCTCACGGAGAGAGTTCAGGGCTCACCTGGATGAGGTCATCACGCTCAAGTCAAGGTACTCTACCTTGGACCAGGTAAACAGATTAATCTTCACATAAACCAACATTCAGCCAATCACACATACAAACATGCACTAAAGTCTTCCCTCAGAGTGTTGCACGCGGCCCACTGCCTACTGATGTAGCATCAGGGCAGTTTGTTTTGTTATAGCTTTATCTTCTTGTCTTAAACAATCTCTGTCCAATGATACTAATATACTACTGTTTTTTTTTTATTTAAATGTTTATTTATTTTACTTTACTTTAATGCATTCAGTTTTACTGCATTCATTACTTTCCTTGGGGAAAATGCTCATTGTACAAGGAGGTTAGTTAATTATTTGTATTAAATAAAATATGAATATTTAATTAATATGAATATTTAAAACATCTCATGATATTTTAATATACATTTTAACTTAATATAATACATTTCAGATTTAAGCCAGTTCAACATTTGATATTAATCACGTTATCTACCATTTTATTTGCAATTAATTATTTTAATTAACTAATATGATAGTTCCATCTTTATAATCATTCAGCCTGCCTTTTGAAGCAGCTTTCGTGTTGAAAGTGACTTGGTTTTGGTCACTAGGTTTTGGAAAAGAGCTTCTCTTTCCCTCTCTTTTCTCTTCATCCCTCTTTCTGAGCTAATAAAATGGCTCGCCAGCATTACAGCTGTTAGTTTCCATACTGTCTTATCTATCATTTCTGATTGGTTAATCACAGAGCGGAGTTCCTCTTATTGGGCCTGACACTCACTTGTTAATAATTCATTCCCCATTGCTGTTCCCCAATTACTCCATCTGCATTTCAGTGGTCAGGGATTAACTCTCATCTGCCTGTATGCTGACACATGGTTCCCCACCTCGTGTGTGTGTGAGGACGTGTCTGTTTGTGAGCGTGTGTTTTCAGTCCACTGAGTTCTTTGGTCCAGCTCTGATTTAAAGAGACCCGACGTCTCTGCATTGCTTTCATTGCCTCCGTCCATTCCTTCAACCCCTCCTGTGATCACTGGTTACCTCTCATCTCCACTCTGAGCTCATTCTGTCTGTTGTCTGATGAAAGGAGGTTAGTTGTACAAATAGGAGGAGGGGAAGAATAAAAAGTGCCAAGGATATACAATTTTCCTTGCCTGTACTTACAGGACTGGGTAAAAAAATGGCTGATTAACAGCACACTACACTCTTAAAAATAAAGGTGCTTCACGATGCCATAGAAGAACCTTTTTGTCTAAATAGTTCCATAAAGAACCTTTAACATCTGAAGAACCTTTCTGTTTCACAAAAGGCTCTTTGTGGTGAAAGAAGGTTCTTCAGATTATAAAAAGGTAAGAAAGAGATGGTTCTTTAAAGAACCTTTGACTGAATGGTTCTTTGTGGAACCAAAAATGGTTCTTCTATGGCATCGCTTGAAGAACCTTTTGAAGCACCTTTATTTTTAAGAGTGTACCAGTCTTAGGTCTGCGTGTTTGTGTTGTTGTGTTAAATCTAATGACAATCGTCTTTTTTTTTTTTGGTTACACACAATACTGGGTTTATTTTATTTTATTTTATTTTAATAAAGTGTGTTCAGTTTTACTGCATTCATTACTTTTCGTAAGGAAAGAAAACAAATGAAACTGATTGAAAGAGTTTTAAAACAGTATCTAAAACATGGGCTATGGCCTGATATTTTAATATGCCTTTTAGCAGCAGTTTTTATGTTTTCATTATTATTTATTTATTTTTTTTGCGGTAAATCTAAATCTATGATTCTCTCGAATCACCATTATTATAATCAAAATATATAAACAGGACTATTTTTAGATTCAATTTAATCATGGTTAATCTTATGGCATTTTTTAGTTAACATGAATAACCTAAAATTTTTTGGATCGTTTTATTTTACTTTATTTAAATAGTACATTTCCGTTTTATGGAAACAAATAAAACTGAAACAGCTTTAAAGTACAATTAGGTAAATGCATTAATTGTCTTAAATAAATTATTAATATTTATTGCCTGATATTTTAATATGCATTTTAGCAGTAATTGTTTTGTTTTCTTCATCGTTCATTCATTTACTATGATAAACCTATAGGTCTATGGTTTAAATAATCTAGATGGATTTAAATAATATCTTTTAATCAAATAAAAAATAATCATAATGTGTTATACATAAAATATATACAGGGCTTTCAATAAACTAAATGTATCTTGAGTTATACATTGTTTTACATTTTTACACGATTTTATTTCAACATTTTGTTTTAATGCATTCAGTAGTACAGTTTAAAGAAAGAAAACAAGTGCAACTAACTGAAAACTCACATTATGCCATTATTAGATAAATGTTTCTACGGCATTAAATTAAGAATAATTGGTATGGTAACCCTGATATTTGAATGTGTACCTGTCCATAAGGTTTCTTTGTCATTCATTCATTCATTTACCCATATGTCCATTCCACGTGTGCAGTTCATTCAGTCCCTTCAGACCTCAAATGCAATAATGTAACATACAAACTCTGCCCTGCTCTGGTGGCCATTAGCACAATGATGCTCAGTTTTTTTCCGGTGTCTTCTAAAACCTCACTGGAACAGAAGTGCAGTATAAGTGGTGTACTGTCCCGAGTGACATTGTGCCTCACCGCACCCCTCTTCCTCGCTAACCTGTGCTACCTTCCTGGCTGGCCGGCATAACCACCCCCCCCCCCCCCCAAACATTCACACAAAA